GCTTGTAGGTATGTTGATGTCAGCTGCCTCATGGATATGGGTTAGAAAGGGTATGCTGCACCTTCTAGTAGGTTCAGAAGGCCTTTGTTATTTATTCACATGTTTGCCCACTAATAATGACGTAGCAAAGGAGGAAATGAGGTAAGATAATGTGCTGAAAGGAGCAACAAGTCCATGCAGACAAAGGGTGTGTGTGTGGGGGGGGGGGGGGGGGGGGGGGGGGGGGGGGGGGGTATATGGGTGGTTAATGGGTGGATGTATGGATGTATGGACGGGTCAAATAAGACATACATTTGACCCAGGAGACAGCTGTCAGTGTCATGTGTGAAGACATAACTGAATACATTGACTTATTATAAGTCACGTAATACGTAAAAAACATACCAATGTAACCCAAGCCATGATCCTTTCCTTAACCTACCCAAGTCGTTTTTGCTGCAAAAACCTTAGACACGTTATTCTGTTTAAATTCACAATGTTAACCAGGTGCTTAAAACTGTGATTGTTAAGTTTCACTTTTATTTTAGCAACCTGCAGTAGCTGCAGTCTTCCCAATCTGCCTCCTCTGTAGCAACACAACGAAACTGATAACAACTAGTAACGGGTCAAAAACATGATAACGTTTCATCATGTGCTTCGGACCAGACTGAACAATTATTTTAAACATGGATTAATTGCCATAATATTTGCAGTTCTCCTGAGCCCAAGATAGGTATTCCTACCAACTTTTTTGATACCTCGACATTTACTTTAAGGTCGGCATGAGGTTGACATCTATGGTTTCGTAACAACTAGTTGAATGTATTGCCATGACATTTGGTGCACACATTCATGACCCCTAAAAATACATTTTAATCACTTGCGTTGATATCAGACTTTTCCTAAAGCTCATTCATCCGGCCAACATTTTGATTGGTCCTATACTTTGATCTTTTCCCAAAGACCTCGAAAACTAATGACATTCCCATTGGCCTCGCTCAGCTGTACTGTATGTGTATTACTCATTTAAATACTTGCATGCTAAACTACGATTGCAGACATGGCAAACATAAGCCAAGAGCTGACGTTTTGAGATATGAGCTTCCTTTTACTATAATTCTTAACCTCTGCTCACATGACATCAACTTCTGCCACAAATGTAAAAAGGGAATTATCTTGATTTTAGTACTTAAAGATGTCTGTGTGTTTTTTTATTTCACTTGGTAATGACCCTTACTGTATATAAAGTGTCGACCCAGTGACAGATCAGTCTCCAAATATTCAGATGCTGTTTGTATTTGTTTGGCATAAATGATCTGTTCCTGTCCAAATAGTGTTTGGCTATTAGTATAAACAACTATTTTGAAATAATACAATCAATAAAAATGTTTGAAAAACAAATCTCACTTGCAAGTTTTAAATGTACATTACCCTTCTTAAGGTTAGTTTGGCAAAGAGGTTCTAATGTGAGGTCTTATTGTCTGAGGAACATGAAAAGTGTCTCCTTAAATAAATCCAACATAAAGCTGAGGCTATCCATCTAATGACCAGAAATAACAAACATGTTTAAAAAGCAGGTTTGTCTGTGGAGTCCTCCCTTCAGAGGTTTGTTCAGGCCTAGCAGTGTAGACACCAACCCATAATCCTCCTGCAGACACACCTGTAGAGGAGAGTATAAAGTCCCTGGACTGAACTGAGTCAAACATCAAGCTTCAAGGAGTCTCTCCACAGCAGCTCCACAGCCTCCAGACCGACCCTGAAGATGACTCCCTCTGCCAGCCTGCTGCTGCTGCTCCTGCTCGGCCTCTCTCAGGCACTTCCTCTCCAGGAGGAAGGAATTGAAGAAGAAGAAGAAGAAGAAGAAGTAGACGAAGAGGACACTGTCGACATCACCACCAGGATTTTGACCTCCAACATCGCCACAGATGAGATCCTGCTGGAAGGAGACCTGGTGGTTCCCAAAACCAGAAACGCCATGAAGTGCTGGTCCCAGAGCTGCCTGTGGAAGAAAGGCTCCAACGGCTTGGTGACGGTCCCCTTCACCACGAGCAGTCAATTCACCAGCTTGGAGAGACAGAAGATCACCAACGCTATGAATGCCTTCCACAGCAAGACCTGCCTCCGCTTCGTCCCCCGTCGGAACCAGTACGACTACATCAGCATTGAGAACAAGGGCGGATGTTACTCCTCTCTGGGCAGAACAGGAGGCAGACAGGTGCTCTCTCTCAACAGGCGGGGCTGCGTCTACCATGGCACCATCCAGCACGAGATCAACCACGCTCTGGGCTTCAAGCACGAACAGACCAGGAGCGACCGCGACTCACACGTCAGGATCAACTGGCAGAACATCAACCCGCAGATGGCCTACAACTTCAAAAGGCACGACACCAACAACCTGAACACCCCCTACGACTACACCTCCATCATGCACTATGGAAAAACAGCCTTCTCCATCCAGCGGGGGAGGGACTCCATCACCCCCATCCCAAACCCCAACGTCCAGATCGGCCAGAGGAGGGGCTTGTCCCGCTTGGACATCGTGAGGATCAACAAGCTCTACCGTTGCTAATAACAATGCTGATGATAAATGCAAACAAATCGTACTTTTTCTGCTTTGTTTTTCCTGTAATTAATCAAAAAACACTGTGACGTATGGAAACAACATCAAATATTTCACTTTTCTTCAAATGTTCAAACGGAAGATTATATGACCGTCATATCCCTAAATGATCTGGAATAAAAGTAATGCAGAGATTACTGATTGCTGTCTAGTTATTTTCATCATTTGTGTCTTTTAAAAAAAATACACACATATGCACATGAATGCAATGCCGACATGGTGCATGTATTCATCTTATCATTTTCAGTTCACTGTAAAGTCACACAGGAATTGTGTATTTCTGTATTTTTGTATCAGTATTGGATCGTGAGGTGAAAGTTACAATTCTGCAATTAATGTCAAGCTTTATCTTGCACTGAAAAACTATTCTGATCAAAACTGACCAAAAATGAATTGAGGATGAACATCACTGACTGTTAGTCAGCCCCAAGTCCTGCCTCTCATGGATAACCATTATATTTTTACAACCCATTTATAACCATATTATTTGGGCCACAGAACTCAGCATAAAACAATTTCAACAAAATTAAAGAACCCAGTGATCTTTTTACTTGCAACAAACATATCTTAAATGTTTCATCCAGATGGTTAAAAGAGTATTTCAGGTATCTTGAACGACTTCCAGAACAGCAGTTACGTTTTTTTATAGGACTTCTGGTGTTGGTAATTATGCAAGCAGCCTGCCTGTAGGTATGTTGATGTCAGCTGCCTCATGGATATGGGTTAGAAAGGGTATGCTGCACCTTCTAGTAGGTTCAGAAGGCCTTTGTTATTTATTCACATGTTTGCCCACCGATACAAATACAATACGATGTGGATCTATAGTGGTCTAATAATGACGTAGCAAAGGAGGAAATGAGGTAAGATAATGTGCTGAAAGGAGCAACAAGTCCATGCAGACAAAGGGTGTGTGGGGGGGGGGGGGGGTATATGGGTGGTTAATGGGTGGATGTATGGATGTATGGACGGGTCAAATAAGACATACATTTGACCCAGGAGACAGCTGTCAGTGTCATGTGTGAAGACATAACTGAATACATTGACTTATTATAAGTCACGTAATACGTACAAAAACATACCAATGTAACCCAAGCCATGATCCTTTCCTTAACCTAACCAAGTCGTTTTTGCTGCAAAAACCTTAGACACGTTATTCTGTTTAAAATTCACAATGTTAACCAGGTGCTTAAAACTGTGATTGTTAAGTTTCACTTTTATTTTAGCAACCTGCAGTAGCTGCAGTCTTCCCAATCTGCCTCCTCTGTAGCAACACAACGAAACTGATAACAACTAGTAACGGGTCAAAAACGTGATAACGTTTCATCATGTGCTTCGGACCAGACTGAACAATTATTTTAAACATGGATTAATTGCCATAATATTTGCAACAGTTCTCCTGAGCCCAAGATAGGTATTCCTACCAACTTTTTTGATACCTAGACATTTACTTTAAGGTCGGCATGAGGTTGACATCTATGGTTTCGTAACAACTAGTTGAATGTATTGCCATGAAATTGGGTGCACACATTCATGACCCCTAACAATACATTTGAATCACTTGCGTTGATATCAGACTTTTCCTAAAGCTCATTCATCCGGCCAACATTTTGATTGGTCCTATACTTTGATCTTTTCCCAAAGACCTCGAAAACTAATGACATTCCCATTGGCCTCGCTCAGCTGTACTGTATGTGTATTACTCATTTTAAAAAAACGTTAGCATACTTGCATGCTAAACTACGATTGCAGACATGGCAAACATAAGCCAAGAGCTGACGTTTTGAGATATGAGCTTCCTTTTACTATAATTCTTAACCTCCCCTTAACAATCCCCTTCACCACGAGCAGTCAATTCACCAGCTTGGAGAGACAGAAGATCACCAACGCTATGAATGCCTTCCACAGCAAGACCTGCCTCCGCTTCGTCCCCCGTCGGAACCAGTACGACTACATCAGCATTAGGCGCATTCTTATTATTCTGTAGTTCTTGCAATTACACAACAGCAGCTTATATGTGTCAAAAATGATGTGCAGTGTTAAGCTCTGAAACCTATTCCTATGCACAGCAAGATGTAACAAGACAAATCGGATGAAGATGGATGTGTGTGTAGGGCCATAAGATCAGTACTGGACCAATCTCAACCCTCACCTTTAAGCCTCAACACCTGAACACTATATTTATATTATTTTTAATGAAGTAATCCCTATAACTCTGTTTATTTGTATTTTATTTCATGTGTCTAAAATGCAAATAATTGAGTTATTTAGTTATGGATTTTCACGTTTGGAAACTTTTTAATCTGAACTAGAATTCAACATGTATTTGTTTGTAGCTGATAAATGAATGTGTGCTCAAACATTCAACCGAATACATTTTTTTAATTTCATTTTGTAACCCATCACACACATCAAAAATGAACAATTTAAAATGACACAGTATCAATAAAACAGAAAAGGTTAAACCAACCCAGCATAAAGTTCGGACACCGAGTGAAATCATTTGACATACAGCATAAAGAAAACTCGTCCCCTTATTGCCTCTAAATGAAACGCCATATTTTAATGAATAAATGCATGATTCTTACAATTTTTTGTTGTACCCACGTTTCCCCTTGGACAAAAACCAGCTAAATGCATGTATTTTAGGTTCATAAAGATTGACAATTCAAAACAAAAAGGATATTGTAAAACTAAGTAACAAGAATTCCAGGGGTTCAATTCAGTGAATCTTTAAGAAATAAACACCATCATAGATACAATCTTTCTCTTTATCTAGCTGCGTTATTCCACCGTCACACACACCTTCACTGGTAATATCTTCACTTCACCACCAATGTCAAAGTATGGAAACATCCTCTCGGTGAAAGTGTGTGTGCAGGTGTGTATGTGTGTGTTAGTATCAGGATCAGAGAACAACAACTCTCCTCTGTTCCAGTCCAGATTCACTCTGACCCTCCGGGGCTTCTTCTGCACTCTGAGAGGAGTGTGCGGATCTAATGGTGACCCTGCATAGTATTCACCATCACAGAAATGTATTCTCCATAAGGTTCAAGGTTCTTTATTGTCAATCTGACATAGTTACAGAGTAATTATGTAGTTGAAAATCTTATGTCACAGGCTTCTCCAACAATGCAACATAATAACATAATAACAATAAGAGCATGAGCAATACAAAAATAATAATAGTTATAAAATGAAATAAAGTTATGATGTGGAATAGTGCAGTACGAGTCTATATACAAGTTATTGGAATGATATTAGGTATTAGATACATGCTACTGAGTAGCAGATGAATGTTTGATGTTGTTTCAACAGTTCAATTTTTTAACAGTCTCACTGCCCGTGGGAAGAAACTGTCTCCGAATCTTCTTGTCCTTGCCAGGATGCTGCGGTAACGTCTGCCAGACGGCAACAGAAAGAACAGTTTGTGGCTGGGGTGATGGGGGTCTTTGATAATCCGTAGTGATTTCTTCCTGAGCCGCTGGGAGTAAAGGTCCTCCATGGATGGCAGCTCCGTCCTGGTGATGTGCTGTGCAGTTTTCACCACCCTCTGTAAAGCCTTACGATCGAGGTCGGTGCAGCTGCCGTACCAGGCCAGTCAGGATACTCTCTATCGTGCACCTGTAGAAGTTGCAGAGTATCCTGGAATCCATTTTGAACCTCCTCAGCCTGCGAAGGAAGAAGAGCCGCTGTCGAGCTTTCTTGGTGATGGTGGTGGTGTGAAGAGACCATGTCAGGTCCTCAGTGATGTGGACCCCAAGGAACCTGAAGCTTTTGACTCTCTCCACCGTAGTCCCATTGATGGTGATGGGAGCGTGTCCCTCTCCCTGCTGCTTCCTGTAATCCACAATCAGCTCCTTTGTTTTGCTGATGTTGAGATGTAGGTTGTTATCCTGGCACCAAGATGTCAGGTTTTCGACCTCCTCTCTGTACGCCGTCTCGTCATCGTCTGTGATCTGGCCGATGACGGTCGTGTCATCAGCAAACTTCACGATGGTGTTGGAGCTGTGTGTGGCCACGCAGTCGTGGGTGAACAGGGAGTAGAGGAGAGGGCTGAGCACGCAGCCTTGAGGGGCACCGGTGTTTAGAATCAGGGTGGAGGATGTGATGTTTCCCACCCGCACTGCCTGGGGTCTGCCCGTCAGGAAGTTCAGGATCCAGTCACAGAGGGCGCTGTTGAGCCCGAGGTCTCTGAGCTTGATGGCCAGCTTGGAGGGCACAATGGTATTGAATGCTGAACTGTAGTCAATGAACAGCATTCTCACATATGTGTTCCTGTTCTTCGGGTCCAGGTGTGAGAGGGCAGTGTGGAGGGTGAGGGCTATGGCGTCGTCAGTGGACCTGTTTGCTCTGTAGGCAAACTGCAGGGGGTCCAGAGAGTCAGGGAGGGAGGAGGTGATGAATGATTTGACTAACCGCTTAAAGCACTTCATTATGATGGAGGTGAGTGCTACTGGCCGGTAGTCGTTGGGGCAGGTGATGATTGTCTTTTTGGGGACAGGAACGATGGTGGAGTGTTTAAGACATGTGGGGACTACAGACTGCAGCAGGGACCTGTTGAAGATGTCTGTGAACACCTCTGCCAGCTGAACTGCACACACCCTGAGAACACGGCCAGGGATGCCATCAGGTCCAGGAGCCTTGTGTGGGTTAACCCTTTTAAAGGATTTACACACATCTGCCCTATTTAAAACAAAAGGGCAGTGTAGCTCCTGGTCCCTCTGTACCTCCACAGCCCGGCTGCTCTCAAAGCGTGCAAAAAAACTGTTCAGCTCATCTGGGAGAGATGCGCACGCAGACACTCCCGCAGCACCCCCCGCTGCTCCTTTGTAGTCAGTCATTGTCCTTAGTCCCGCCCACATATTCCTAGTGTTACAGCCTTTGAAGTCAGATTCCACCTTTTCTTTGTACTGTCTCTTTGCATTTTTAATTGCTCTCCGGAGATCATACCTAGACTTCCTGTACTCCTCCAAATCTCCCGCTGTGTGCGCGATAGTGCGCGCTCTCAGCTTACAGCGCACATCGGAGTTTATCCATGGCTTTTGATTTGGGAATGTCCGTACATAATCCATAATCCATAATCCAGACCATATGTCTCCCTTCTTTTGGGCAGACTCTGCTAACACACCTAGTAACCAGTATGTGCTGTCTCCAACCTGGACGTCCCAGCTGTGAGTCCCTGAGTTGAAGCCCTCAGAGCCCAGGACAGAGCAGAAGTTATCAAACCTCTCTGGGTTATCAGGAAGTTTCTGATACTCTCCTCGTCTCACAGAGGTCAGATCTTCAGACAGGAAGAGGTTTGGATTAGCAGTGTTTGGGTCCAGGATGAGAGGAGAGTAGGGCACCATGTCCTTCATCTTGCTCCAGATGTTGAAGGTGAGGTTGCCCAGATGTTTGGCCTGGTCTATCAGAGCTCCTGAGGGCAGCTGTGGATCCTCCAGCAGGGGGCGCTGCAGCCTCTCCACTGCAGCCTTGTCGTTGTGCAGGAAGGAGACGTCTTCAGCTCTCAGCTCCTCCTCTGTGGCTCTGACTGAAAGAGCAGGGTTGCGTTCGAATACTCCAAAAAAAACAGCTCCTAAATTCTAACCCTATCGTCTATTCCTTGACCTCGGAGTGAAACGTCATGGGGTTAAGGGATAGTGGATAGGAGAATTCAAAAGGATTTAGGAGAAGAGACTGCGGTACTTTAGAGAATCCGACTGCACTTTCACTATCCAACGTGTTTATGATGCGCCAGCAGAGGTCATTAATGTGCTCCTGCTGCTGTGGGGAAACTATGGAAACTACAGTTTTCTATACAGCGGACTACAACATGGATGTTTAATAAGAACGAGGGACTACTGTAAACTCATCTAGAGACTCTGCACCGTGCTCTGATGCTGTTGGTGTATGCTTTATGAACGGGGACAACAGAGAAACATATTCTTCATGACCAAAGACAAGAAGCCATTCCTGCAGGCTCGAGGAGCTAGCATCACAACTAGCATCACAACTAGCATCTCTTCCGCTACAGCAACAACTACGCGACGACAACAGAGACCATGGAGACAGCGGAGACCGAGGAATCAACGGAGACTTCGACATTCCCCCGGGGACGCCTCGGCAGACAGACACGCATGAGGCAGTGACGAGAGGAAGAGAACCGAGATCCGAGGGAACAAATATCCACCATGTTGTTAGCCACCCTGCTAGCATATCGACGGCTAAAGCTACAACGGAGCCTCCCTCCCCCCACCACCCCACCGCTCCAAGCACCACGGCAGGCCGCAAGCCGTTTGCTGTAACGGACAAAGACAAATATCTGCAAGCTGACGACATTATGCATTTAAACAACAAAAATGGACTACATATTTTTCATCTGAACACTAACAGCCTGAGACACAAACTGGCTGAACTCAGGCAACTGTTCATGAACGGTAAGGCAAGCATATTATGCTTTTCTGAGACCAAATTGGACAATTCCATTACAGATTCAGAGATTGAAATTGAAGATTATCTTGTAGTGAGAAGGGACAGGAACGTGAATGGAGGTGGTGTCTGCATGTACATACATAAAGACACCAATTTCAAAAACCGTACTGACCTGCATCATGAAAATATTGAATCTGTGTGGGTTGAAATTCTTTTTGACAATGCTAAATCTGTAATAGTCGGGACAATCTATAGACCACCGGAACAGAGTGACTTTTATGATACATTAGATGGGTGTTTGGCTGATGTGGGGGATGTAGAGACAATTATTATTGGAGACTGGAACACGGATATGCAACGTAAAGACACGTCCGTCTTCAAGTCCTTCAGTAGGATTTGTGATCTGCACGGCTTCAGCCAGCTAATCACCCAACCCACCCGGGTATGTGAAACAACACAAACTACCATTGATCTCATTCTGACCTCTGACAGGTCCAGGATCTCCAGTAAAGGGGTTATAGCATGCGGTTTAAGTGATCATTATATGATATTCTGTACCCGCAAAAAGCTAAAACAAAAGGCCGGCTGTCACAAAACAGTCATATCTAGAGACCTCAAAAACTACTCTAGCGAGGCCTTTAACCTAGAACTGGAGAGCCTGGACTGGTCAGATGAGCTCAGTGGTACACAAGTTGAAGAAACATGGCTTGGTTTCAAAAACAAATTCTCTGCAATACTCAATGATTTGGCCCCCCTAAGAACAACCAGGGTAAAAAATCGCGCTGAGCCGTGGATGCACTCCGGCATACTGACCGCCATGAAAACCAGAGACAAAAAATGCTCTGAGTTTCATAAAAGTCAGTCAATGCTTTCCAAAAGCACGAGCAGTGAACTCCAGGCCCACGTGACTGAACTAAAAATTGAAAGAAACAGACTAAGAAATGACGTAAGCTCCATGATCAAAACTGCCAAAAAGAATTTCATCAATGACAAAACTGAGGAAAACAAAAATAAACCCCGTGAACTTTGGAAATTACTCAATAACCAGCTTGGCTGCAGTAAAAAACTCAAAACGAGATTTTCAAACTTAAACATAAAGACAGATAACAGGCTCATCACAGACAAACTGGATGTGGCCAAGTACTTGAACATTTTTTTCACAAACATAGCCACAACTCTTGTAAATAAATTACCCTCCCACTCAGGGCTTTTTGGAGTAGATCACATCATGACCTACTACAAAAACCTAGGGGTACGCAAAGATGATTTCAGTCTAGCAAGGGTAACAACAGCAGAGGTACTCATTAAACTGAGCGCCCTCAAACCTAACAAGGCCACTGGCCACGACAATATCCCCTCCAAATTCCTCAGAGACACAGCAACCCGCCATCTCACCAGTCATAGCTCACATAATTAACCTCTCCATAAAACAGGGAAAAGTACCCAAAGACTTCAAAATTGCAAGAGTAACCCCCCTGCACAAAAAGGGCAGCAAATTGGACCCAGGCAACTACCGCCCTGTTTCTATACTTACCTCCATCTCGAAAGTCATGGAAAAAATAGTATATGAACAGGTCGAAAAGTACCTCGCAGAAAAGAAACTAATCTATGAATTTCAATCTGGCTTTAGAACATCCCACTCCACTGACACATGCCTTCTTTATTTGAACGACCACATCAAACAAGAGGTGGACGAGGGTAAATACTGCGGCATGGTGATGCTGGACCTACAAAAGGCTTTCGACACTGTCAATCACCCCATTCTGATTGACAAGCTAAAAGCAATTGGTTTTGATAAACTATCGGTGAGCTGGATGCAATCCTACCTGGAGGGGAGAGAACAGATGGTGGAGGTAAACGGTACTCTGTCCCCCCCCCTCCCAGTGAGCTGTGGTGTTCCACAAGGAAGCATATTAGGTCCGTTACTGTTCCTAATTTATGCAAATGACATGTCATCAGCATGTGACTGCAACTTGTTCCTGTTCGCGGACGACTCAGCCCTGCTGGTCTCTGACAGGAGCAGATTGCAGGTTGAAAAAACCCTCAGCTCCGAGCTCGGCAGAATCTGCACCTGGCTCGCCGATAATAAATTATCATTACACCTGGGTAAAACAGAGTCCATTCTCTTCGGTTCGAAACATAATCTCAGCAAATCCGACGACTTCTCAGTTGCAGTGGGTGACATTATTGTCACAAGTAAGAAGGAAATTACATACCTAGGATCTATTCTTGAGGCAAACCTCTCCTGTGACAAAATGGCATCCAATGTAATAAAAAAAGTCAATCAAAGAACTAGATTCCTATACCGGATCTCCTCTCTGGTAAACAAAAACACCCTGAAAACTCTGGCAGGAGCACTCATTCAAGGGTACTATGACTATGCTTGCACGTCATGGTACCATAGCACCTCCAAGGCGCTAAAAATAAAACTTCAAACATCGCAAAATAAACTGGTCAGACTACTGCTTGACCTTTCATCTAGAACCCACCTCACCTCTGCCCACTTTGACAACCTAGGATGGCTTAGAGTAGACGACAGAGTACAGCTACTTGCAATGGGCCTGGTCTACAAGATCCACTACACCTCTATGGTACCCATGTACATGTCAAAATTCTTCCCAAAGGTCAAGGAATACCATGATCATAACACCAGAGGGAGCTCCACAAATCATGTAAAACCCAGATTTGGCACAAAAAAAGGGGAATACACATATCGCAATTATGCCACATCAAGGTGGAACGCTCTTCCCACAACTGTAAAGGAAAGTAAAACTATACTTACCTTCAAAACCTCTCTTAAAGAGCACCTTCGGGGGAAAGCATTGCAAAACTGGCCCCGGTAATGGTACAAATCTCAACCTGTCGTACAATGGACAGCTTCCCCCCCCCATCTATGTATATACTCGCATTTTAGACTCTGTTACTAACTGTATATCTGTAAACTTGGTATGTCTTAAATGTCCGGTTAGGATGTATTAGAACGAAATCTAAAATGAAAATTGTAAATAAGCCATCTGTATGTAAAAAACCACCTGTATGTAAATTGTAAATAAGCCATCTGTATGTCAAATATGTCTTATATGTCTTAAATGATATGATGAATTGGAAATGGGGGACCCTGATGTAAACAAGACGAAAGTCTTTCTCTGGTCTGCATCCCCTTAACAATTGTATGTTTTGAGCTGTACTGTACTGTACCCAATATACAAGCTGTTAATAAACTTTTCAATCAATCAATCAATCAAAGTTGGAATTGAAATAAAAAAGGAAAGTGAAACTTATGCTCGTCACCCTCTCCCTCCGGTCCTCATTAATACAAATGATCCCAATACGTATGATTGTATGAAAAGATCTTAAAATCAATACAAATGTATTTATTATAACCGTTAGTCCTTAACATCTATCACTGTGTATATCACCATTCAAACATCTTTTAAAAGTTGAACAAACCCCACACAGCTCAGTAAAGACTGTGAAATGTTGACTTTATTTGATCATTTCAGTAAAAACTAACGTTCATATTTCTCTTTTTGATTATAATACTGATGAACGTTCAAAACAAAGCACTTTGGCAACTTACCACATACGTTTTAAAATGCTTAATAAGCACCGTAACTTTCATGATATCATTTCTCGTTCATAATCGGTTGTTTCCGTGGACGGCCGACTGTTGGGTGACGGCAAATGCCGCGGCCGCAAGGCATTGTGGGGCAGCATGTTCTCCTCTCCTTTCGGTTAGGGAGGTCCAGTGGTTCCTAAGCTAAAGGAGGTAATAAAGGAAGTTTGAAACCTCCTTTCCTTTTAATTTAGAGAATTCGAACGGCACTTATCATGGCTGCCACTGAGGGACTTCCGGGTCATTTCACTCTGTTAGGAAGGTTCCTAAGCTAAATGGACTATTCGAATGCAACCCTGCTATCTCTCTGCTCACAGCCTCCATCTTCTCCTCCATCATCCTCCTCTTCTGCTCATCTTCCTCCCTCAGTGCAGCCATCCTGGCCTCCTCTTCCTCTTCTAGAAACTGGTGAAGCTTCTGAAACTGCTTCTTGATCTGCAGCTCTGTGCGATGAACCTGGACCTTCAGGTGTCCTGCTGTTTGATCAAACTTCACTTTAACTTCTTTAAAATACTCTAACTTCTCCTTTAAAGGATGCAGAGATGTCTGGAGCTCTTCTTTGAGAACCTGTGCCGCCTCATTGATGGGCATGAAACTGTGTTTGTTGTGTGTTTCTGATTCTCTGCAGATGTGACACACTGGCTGCTGATGGTCCAGACAGAAGAGTTGGAGTTCTTCAGAGTGCAGAGTGCAAAGAGCCTCTGAAGCGCTCTGATCTCTCTCCTGTAAGAAACACTCACACAGGTTTTTCAACACCAGGTTTACAGGAGGAAACTCCTTTGAAGATCTTCTCTTACAAACTGGACAGTCGTGGAGTTGTTTCTTCGTCCACCAGCTCTTTAGACATCCTTTACAGAAGCTGTGGTTGCATGTCAGAACTACAGGATCTATAAAGACGTCATGACAGAGCGGACAGCAGAGATCCTCCTCTGGTCTGGAAGACATTTTGTCTCTGAGTAAAGCTGAAAACACATCAGACAGGGAGAACAGTCATTGCTCCCCTTCCTCCTACTGACTTCACTTAAATTCACTTAAAGTGCTGTTTAGGGTCAGACTCACCTTCAGTGTGTGGAGAACTCCGAGGAAGTGGTTTGGTCTGAAGGTGAACGTTATCCTCTGTTTTTCAGTCCGTTTGTCACTCCGCAGTGATTAAGAATGACAAACGGTGTCCTGGTTTGTCTCTGTTCACCTATAGAATACAGGTGTGTCTCATTCCTCAGACACCAAGGCAAGGCAAGTTTATTTATATAGCACCTTGCAACACAAGGCAATTCAAAGTGCTTTAGAAAAATGAAAGACATTAAGATCATTAAGAAATAGTGCAGCGTAAAACCATTATAAACATCAAAAACCAAAGATAATAAAAACACAGTTACATGTATAACAGTGTGAGATTCGAGTTGCAGCGGACCTGCATGTCATGGTTTGTTCCAGATATTTGACAATACCCCTAACCATGCATGCTCACATTCCTCACACCAGCCACACGTCTACAGCTCTCAGTAAACTGGTTTAACTTCATTTTATCTTTACAGTACAGGACATTTTGAACCATTCGGAGCTCATAAAATATCCTTCAGTTGTTCAGTTATAATAAAGTTCTTATCTGTAAAGTAAAGAAAGTTATTTTCATTTTTGGGTATTTTAAGTATATTTTAGTGCTATTGCCCAGTGGTGTAAAGTCACTAAGTACTTGACTCAAGTATTGTATTTAAGTACCATTTTGACGGACTTGTACTTTAATTGAGTATATCAAATTGTTGCTGCTTTGTACTTCTACACCACTACAATTCAGAGGTAAATCGTGTACTTTTACTCTACTACGTTTATTTTGTACCTTTAGTTACTTCACATATTTGAATGAATAATGTGAAATATAATCAACACTTGAATAATAACTTTAGTTACACCTGGATTAAATTCACAAGTTACCCTGCAGTTTACAGGGTATTGAAAAATAGCTGCACCTTATACCAGCTTCAATAAGACCTTATCAATAATTATAATCAAAACATATCATATATATTATTCTGAAATGGACCAATCTGCATAATGAGTACTTTTACTTTTGCAACTTTAAGTATATGTTGATGTTAATACTTTTCTACTTTTACTTTTGTAACAAAGTGTTCCTACACTCTGGTACTTCTATTTTTACTGAAGTACAACATCTGAATACTTCAACCACCTCTGCTTTTACCTTTGTACTTTTACTTAAATTGGATTTTGAATGCATTATTTTTCATTGTAAAAAAGTATTTCTGAATGACAGTGGTGCTACTTTTACTTTTTTTTTAAATCTGAACATTTCCATCGCTGTAATTGATCATTAATCCGCAATAACAAACACCCGCGATGATACTCCTCTGTGGACAACAAAACCTCGCCCAGATGAAGATCTCGCAAATTATCGCGAGCTCACGTGGCTTCAAACCTCCCCATGATCCTTTGCGATTCCTCTTTCTAGCCGGCGCCTGAGAATGGGTACGTGTTTTCATGCTCTGGTCGGAGGAAGAATCCTTGTCCATCTGATGTTTTAACCAAGATATCTATCTAAAATGGTTTGCTATATTGCAGCTAAATGTTATCTGAACATATGCAGCTGGATCTTTGTTGACTGCATTAGAGTTGTTTAATTTAATTTAAAGTATTCTGAAAAGGCTGTGTGAAGGGCTCCAAGATGGCCGCCTTGTTGGCAGTGTAGTTAGCTTCTGGTGCTGAAATGTGTTTGAAAATGGCACACTATTGATAGTTTGTGCTATTTATCTTATTTTAGTAGTATTCAGATGTTTGTACTGAACTGTTAGCCGTTCATGAAAAGCGTTGAGACGTTTTAACTGTGCCAATAGAGTGGCGAATTAACTAGCATGCTAGTATTAGTTAGCTTAGCAGGGTGGCAGTGATCCTGACACGCTGCTGCACTAAAACAACGAATAATAAGAATGCTTATTTGAGAAGGAAGTTGTGTGTATTTAACATAAGGTTTTGTTTGTTATGTCTGATCAACGTGAACGGCAATGGGAAGTGTATCTTTGACACGTGAGGTACATGCTGGTTCTTGAAAGGCCACAATGTTTAACAGATTGTGAAATTGCTACCACATTTAGCTAAGATAATTATTACATGTCTAAAGATGGAATTGTTGCACAGAGTGCAACACGTCTATTAAGTTCTGAGGCAGAATTACTCTAGTATACGTAAGCTTCTTGATCATATATTTCCTTTAATCCAGCTTGACTATGAGCTTGTGAAGTTAATTTAGAACAGTAAAGTGAATAGAAGATACACTGGATGTATAAAAGTGCTTTGTATCATTTCTAGTCATGAATACAGATTCTTTTTATTTTACCAGTTGATAGCACTTGGACTTGTTGTTACTATTTGCACAGAGAGAGCACGTCCATTTAACAAGCTTCAAATGTCAATCTGTTTGCTGAATTTGAATGTTTTAATGCTTGAGCAACATGATGAAACTCATAAGCGGATCCAAATTCAATTGAGGAAAACCTACCTTGGAGAACTGACGCTCAAGCATAGCAAATCATTCTGTGGAAATTGTCCTGTGAGTTGTGGTGATCTAACTCCTGTTTGTTTTTATTAAGGTATCTCAAGGGATAACTGGCATAAACGCCGCAAGACCGGCGGTAAACGCAAGCCCTACCACAAGAAAAGGAAGTATGAGCTTGGACGCCCTCCTGCAAACACAAAAGTGAGTAAAACAGTGATCACCTGCTTTCATGCCAGTGTTGAAGTGTGGGTGATGATAAAGAGACCTTAGGTTTGTCATTTTTGAGCCGTTTTGGATCAAAGTTCTTGACTTACCAATGCCAGGACATGTCATAGTTACTCTGACACGCTTCAACACATCAGAATACAATCTTAACTCATGGATAACCTGAATCCTAGGAAACCGTAAAACTTACATTTGTCTTTTTATTTTATTTTTCTTAGATTGGACCCCGTCGCATCCACACAGTGAGGGTGCGTGGTGGGAACAAGAAGTACCGTGCTCTGAGACTGGATGTCGGTAACTTCTCATGGGGTTCTGAGTGTAAGTTTGATTTATTTCACACAAGGCATCTTACAATGATGATAACTTTGTCCAGTTCTGCTACTGAATGCAAGTGCTGATATCAAAGACATCTGAGAACGATCTGTTTCCTCTGCCTTGCATTTTAAAGTTTTATTTAGTCATTGTTGTCCAACAACAGGTCCAAAGGGAGCAGTCATTTGCTTTTACTAATTGCTCTTTATGTTGTGTACACAGGCTGCACACGTAAGACCAGGATCATTGATGTGGTCTACAATGCCTCCAACAACGAGCTGGTCAGGACCAAGACCCTGGTGAAGAACTGCATCGTGCTCGTGGACTCTCTTCCCTACAGGCAGTGGTATGAGGCCCACTTCGCCACTCCTCTGGGACGCAAGAAGGGAGCCAAGCTCGTAAGTGGAAGAAAACGCATTTCCCATACACCTTGCTCTGTGTAGAGAATCATAACTCAGGCACTGACTTCAGTTTTTACCTCATTTGTGTAACTTGGGCCAGAGAATATATCTTGTTAAAGCCACACAAAGATACCTTCTCCTCTAGTAGTTCCAGATCGTGATACTCTCGGGTGTTGCACGTCTTTCAATGAAGATAACTTTGTCCAGTTCTGCTACTGAATGAAAGTGATGATAATGTGACTCTGAGAAAGACCCGTTACCGGCACCCCTTACTCCTAAAGTCCTAAACAGACCGAAACCTTTCTGTTTAGATTATTTATTTTAATGCTTATTTAACAGTTCCTGTAGGACTCATAAGCGTTTAGATGCCCCTGTAATGAGTAGTACATTTTTATGCACGTAAGAATCATCTTTCAGAAATGCACCACAATTCTGTTAATATCCTGCTAATGGGCTTTCTTTCCATTGTTAAGACTCCTGAGGAAGAGGAGGTCCTGAACAAGAAGAGGTCAAAGAGGACCCAGAAGAAGTACGATGAGCGCAAAAAGACGGCCAAGATCAGCCCCCTCTTGGAGGAGCAGTTCCAGCAGGGAAAACTGCTTGGTGAGTCTGAACATCTGTAGTCTACTGTAGTGATTGTCCTTAAATCATTACATTGACCGCATCACTGGTTCATTTATTTGGAAGCACTTCACCTGGTGGTACATTTTAAGGAAATGTCATCCATTTTTTGCTCTGCAATTCAAGAGCAGGCACTCTGACTTTTGTTATTAAAATACTTCTAGCCTCCAGATGTGATTGCAGTTAATCCCACTCCTAAAAGACACAATCTCTGTCATATTGTCAGAGGGGTTATTTCTTAGAGTTCAAGAAGAACATTTCAAATAAAATATGGGAAATGCAAATACACTTTAAATGATGACAAATTGAGAATCTAAATTTACAGAAGGATATCTCAAACTTTAAATTTTTGGAATAATCTGCACTAATTTTGATCATGTTTGAGGCTATATTCAACCTATTCTAGATGCAGCGTATTAAGTAGTCTTTGAAGATAAACTAATACTTAAATTACCACAAAGAAAACAAAATCAGAAAAAAATCCTTTACACTTCTATAGAGTGCTGTCTGTGCTGGTGCACGTCTCTCAATGAAGATAACTTTGTCCAGTTCTGCTACTGAATGAAAGTGATGATAATGTGACTCTGAGAAAGACCCGTTACCTGCACAGACATCACTTAATTCACCTAGTCTGGGTGCTGAAGTTACAGATCTTACATTTTCATGGGCGTTTGGGAACAAATCCTTAATTTCTCTTATTTAAATAAAACGTTAGAGTATGATAAAGAGAGTCAAAGTATTAATGCCACAGAGCTTGGGATCCCTATAAAAAAGACAGGTGTTGGACAGTTTTTGATAGCGTTTGTTCCCCTCAGCTAACATGTTGTCTCCTCCTGCAGCTTGCATTGCATCCAGACCCGGCCAGTGCGGCAGGTGTG